TTCCTCACTTTAGTGGAATTTCCTTTCACTTTCTATTTTGGCTATAGGTCAGGAAGTGCAGGGAAATCTCACCAATGGACACAGATGGCAAAAAAATAAAAATAAAAAATTGACTGGGGTTATAGCTCACCATTACTCTATACAAAATGATAAAAAGGTTTCCTTATTTCTTCTTTAATGTTACATGCCAAATCCTCTATGCCAAATCTCCTACACACTTTAGGTTGGTTTGCTAATATCTCAGGCCTCACAATTAACCCTCAAAAATCAAAAGCCCTTAACATGTCCTTGCTTCCTGCTATGATAGGACAGTTGCTCCCATTTACTTGGGCCTCTCAATACCTCTCCTATTTAGGCATCAAACTGCCAAATAGGATCCCTGATTAGGGTGATTTACCCTCCTATGCTACTGCCCCCATGGTCTACTTTACCAATCTCATGGAAAGGGAAAAACAACTCACATATCTCACCCAAAATTTTATATCTTTGTCAAGGAATACCCGCTGCAGTCCCAGCCTACTACTTCCGTATTCTTCAACAGAAGGTAACTGCCTTTGTGTGGGGTAAACATAAGCCCCGAATCTCTCACCTAGTATTGGAACTCCCTAAAAACAGAGGAGGATTAGGCCTCCCTAACTTTACAAAATACTATTACACTGCCCAACTAGCTCCACTTTTAAAATATTATTTGGTAGCTGAAACCCCATCTGGGTTCACATAGAAGCAGTAGAGCGTGACCCACTCTCTGTAGCAAATTTACTATGGTTGAAGTGGAATTGTTGCTACCACATCTTAAACCAGAATGTGCAACATTCTCTTTCACTATGGAACAGACTTAAAACCACTTTTGGTCTTCTTTCCCCTCATATGCCTTTATTGTCCTATCTTAAACATCTATCATTTTACCCAGCCTTCAACTCCCCATCTGCCTTCCAGCCCTGGAAACTGATCAGATATTGTTATTTTACTGCTCACCCAATGTTTAAATCCTTCTCTACCCTTCACGATGACCATGAACTACCAAATTCAAATATTTTCCGTTGTTTACAACTCAAACATTTCTATGCTCTATGCAATCACTATGCTGTGCCTACAACTGTTAGCAAAACCTTGTTGTAATCAATACCCAATCAATACATACATGCAAATGGAAAACAGAGCTTGGAATCTTATTATCACAAGATGACTGTATGGCAATATAGATTAACATTGAATTTTCATCACAAAATGTTACGGCCATGGAAGTCAACTAAAAAGTTATGATGCACTGTTACTTGGTACCTGCAAGAATATCGAAATATGCCCCTCTTTATTCACCGGCCTGTTTCCACAGTTGTGGAAACCTGAGCACCCACCTCGATATTTGGTGGTCCTGCCCCACAGTTAGTGTATTCTGGGAAAACATTTTTTGGTTTCTATCTGCTCTGTTTAGGCAGACAGTTACCTCTGGCACATTAGTGGCTATCATGAACCGACAGCCTTACTATCTCACATAAAATCTGTTTTCCCTGTTACAGCAAGCAACAACGGCTACTAAACAAACCATAGCCTGCAAATGGAAATCTCCCTAAAAGGTCAAAAATAAAGTGATGCTGGCTATGATCCATGCCAAATTTTAGGCTGTTCTATGTAAAAAAAATAATATGATACACTAAAATCTGGCAGCCTTTGGGTTGATCATTATCTCTCCCACATCTGGACTCCACTCTTTTGCTCCAATATTGATGGCTCCTTCCCATTAGATGTTGTGTCATCAACCTGCCATTGCCATCTACTCAACCCCCTGACTCTGACCCTGTCCTTCTCTTGTTCTTCCTTACTCTCTCCCCCCACTTCTTCGCTCTCTCTCTTTCTTCTGTCTCCTTTATTTTTACCTATTTTGCCAATTTCTAGGCATTCTAGGTCCCTAGGTTAACCACATAATCACCACTGGTAATTAGTTATGTTTAATACATCCTATATTTTACCATTGTTTCTTTTTCTTCTACTTCTGCTGAGCACCCAAGCTCCCTCATCTATATTTGTTATTGATACTGGATCAAGTGGTCAGCAAGCATCATATATATCTTAATATGGTGTTTGATTGCTTGTTTGTGTTCAGTTGTATGCTGCATACCTTGTTAATTGGACCCTTGGTTACTATGCTTGTAATATAGGTATTGTAAAATGATCTATATCTATACTCTATACTCAATAAATAAATTGAACAAGGAAGGAGATACTAAACTTCAGAAGATATGAAGAATAGCTGTATTATACTTAAATCAACAGTACACCCCACTGGTTTCCCAGTAATATTTCATTGTAACATTGTTTGTGAGGTTAAAAACACATATGTTCTTCAAGTTCAAACTTGTTTCTGTTTTGGTATTATCGTGGAAGGAAACTAGTTAAATCAGTAAAAACTGTCAGTGAAACCTCAACAGGTTTCTGTAATAATTTTTAAACAATACACAGTTTACCTAACACAACAGTGTACCCTGCTGGTTTGACACTGCATACAGTAAGTTCATTTTAGTGAGCCTTTCTAAGTAACACTAAAAACTCCACATTTTTTTTTTATAAAACAAATGCTATATGTTTAAATACACGTAGAATGTACCTTCTATTTCTCTCTTCCATAGCTTCATCTCTAAAATGCAAACTTTTTTCTGCTATTCTCAGACATCTTGTTCTAGGGTGGCTACGTTCATTTTCCATGCCCCCCCTTGGGTATGTGAATGTAGCCACCTTTCCTGCTAACCCTCGATATAGACTACATATCTACATACAGATGCATTTAGTGCTATGGGAATTGTAGTACACATACACAAGAGGAGCATGTGACAAGAAGTATTTAGGATGTAAAAAACAGAGGTGAACGAGCACAACTTGATGCTATTGGTTGTAGGTTAGATAGAAAAGATTTGATAGTGTGGAGCTGCTAGCAAAAAAGGTATACCTTGGCACCTCAGTGATAAATAAAGTCTAAGAAATGCAGCGCTAAAATTGAAATAGTAGTAAATGACCATAAAATACAGAAAAAAATGTTCATATAGACTGTTCATTCATATTATGAATCTATAAAATGTCCTGAAGACGAGAAGTACTCCAATATAATCGAGGTTAAAGTGATGTGATATACTCCTGGCTGCTCCGTGAGGTAGTAGTACAATAATGCACTTACCAAAAGTACATACAAACTGAGCGTTGTATATAAATAATCCGTGAAGACATCAGGGTCTGGTCACCGGGATGGCGTCATCTAGGGCTGCAGTAGACTCCCAGGGATGGTGTCACTCACACTTGGGGGTCATCAGGATGTAATGACAAAGCTACACTTGTACGTAAGCGAAATGCGTTGACATCATGAGGCGTCGGCGACGTCACACTCTCACTCCCCGCTGGCCCGACCACGAGGGGTGACAGCTTGCTGTGGATGAAGGCACAGCTGATACACCATGACCCTGGATACAACCCGGATATTCGGTGGTCATCTACCACACATATACCTAGACATCACTGCAACGGGGATGGCTGCTTAGCGGTGGGACCGTTCCATGTTCCCACATAAAGGCATCTTGTGATGATCAAGGACTTTCTAAGTGCAACAGTGCAGACCTATTACATATATCTTCAGGTGGTTGATGATTGCCAGAACTGGCGGGACATCACCTCAAGGTCTCTAAGCAGTTTAAATACAATACACAGGACTCTTTCGATCCCATTATGGGGTAAAAAGCTGAAGTGGATGTCCATCTCTCTGCACCGTACACAGTGGTAAGGTACATGCCGCCGCATTGTGTTTATAATCTGCAACTATGAGCAACTGCTCATTCTGTATGGGGTGTATATGTATATGCATATAGAACTTGTGGAGCTATAATTCCAATCAAACTGATAACTTCAATCTACCCAATTTTGAGTTGGGCTTCCGCAGAGATATATATATATATATATATATATATATATATATATATATATATATATATACATACATATACCACATTTGACGTCCGGACGTCCTTATTTGACATTGTTTTTATTTATGTCTTGTATGTTCACATGTAAGTTGTAGTTGCTGGGCATTGCGTGTTACTTTAATATTGCTATACTGCAAATTATTTTGCTAAACTGAATAAACACAATTTGTATTCATCATAGCCTGATACAAGTCTTGTTTGCTGTCCAATCAACCACTTGTCTCATGGGATGGGCTTTACCCATTCATGCGATACCTTTTGTTTTTGCTCTGGTCAATGGTTTAGACGGCAACACTTTTAAAGTGAGGAGGCAATCAGTGATTTTTCATATTTCCATCTAAATTCTTTTTGTTTTGAGCACAGCCATCCAAAGCAGTGTGTATGAGCTGACAGGGAGGAGAACTGTTTTGTTTTCAAACAGTTCTCCTCCACGTCGGAGATTCTCGACAATCACAAGCGAGCCGGGACCCAGTGAATTTTGCACACCCGTGCCTCCCTGTAGCAGTATTTCTGCTATAGGGCGGTCGGGAAGCGGTTAATCATACACAAGATTATTTTAAAAGTGTTAATGACAGCCAATAAGATGATACGTGGATGTTTTTCTGCCACCCCAGGCAGCCCTGGTACCCTAGACTATGTCTTGCGTTGACTATGCAGAATGATGGCACTGCCTGTAGGGTAGTTATTGTTAGATGTTTGTGAGTCTGACAGCTGCATTCATTATAATTTATTAAAGTTATTCATAGTTTTCTCAAATATGACTAAGGTAGAATATTCTGTAATTGACATTAGCTAAGGTGAAAAAGCTTCTTCCATTTTGCTTTATCTCTGATGCAGTCTTTAACTTTCTGATTTCTTAATGTATAAATAAATGGATTTAGCAATGGGCTCAGTATAGTGGTTACAAAATTAACCAGTTTGTCTGTTTCTATTGAATAACTTTTGTTAGGTCTTATTTCAATAAATATGGCACCACCAAAAACTATAGAAACCATAGTAAGATGAGAAACACATGTAGAAAATGTCTTCTGATGGCCCTTAGCTGATCGCATTTTTTATAACTGTGGATACAATGAAAATGTATGAAATTGATGTGATTACTAAAGGTACAATTAAAATGATAAAAGAACTTATAAAATTTGAAAGTTTGATAAAGCTGATGTCTATACAGACCAACTTCATCATGGCAGCACCATCACAAAAAAAATGGTCTAACACATTACCGCAAAATGGAGCTCTTGATAGCGTAAATGTAGGATAAAGAATACAGAGGAATGAAATAACAAAACAGCTAACAACCATCTTTATGCATAAACTGAGCCTCATAATAGAAGAATACCTGAGAGGGAAACATAAAGCCACAAAGCGATCAACAGACATTACAGTCAGTAAAAGAAAATCAGTCGAGGATAAAAAAAAGTAAAAGAATGATTGTGTTGTACATCCAGATTTAGAAAAAGTGTGATCAGCTGTAATGAAGATGGCAAAGAGTTTATAGTCAACTGCAGAAATACCTATTGTTTCCATGAATGAAAGGCAGACCAAGAAAAAGTACATGGGTGAATGGAGACGATGGTCAGCACATATAATAAAAATGATTATTCCATTCCCTGCTAAAGTAACAAGGTAGACCAGATGCAATATTGTAAATAGAAAGGCCTGGAATGTATTATTTCCATGAAATCCCTCTAAGACAAACTCCACCAATGAGTTATTTATTTTTTCCATTAAAAAAGAACAAGATGCGTCTCCACATAGCTGAGGGAGCTTTTAAACAGTCGTGCATAGATACATGAATCAGTATTTGTAGAATATGTAATCCACGTAAACTAAAAATCCCTTAAGAAACAACCATCTCCAGAGAACATATTTCTATAGTCAAGATTCCAGATCTATTTTTAAATATTATCTTTTTTTATAACTGTAATATATACATATCTGTTATATATATATATATATATATATATATATATATATATATATTTATATATCTGTAATATATATATGATATTTTTTTATAAATTATATACTGTTTTTCAATAATACCTTTACATTTACAGAGATTTTCTATGCTCAAAATTACTACCATAAGCTTAGCGATAGTAGGCTATTTAACCATGTTAGCCATCAAGTAGTGATGGAAGTTTGCAGTTTAAGTTATAACCTTTACTGGCTAACAATTTTGTGAACAGCTGCTGTTACTAAATGACCAGTTGACAGCCCTACTGTAGTGGGTGGATATACCCAATTGTATTTTTTTTTTTTGTGCACTCATAAACCCGTCCACCTCATGAGAAGCACACAGGGTTCTGTGATTGGACACAGCAGATTACAGGCAAAAGGTACAGAGCCAATGAGAGTGATCTGTACCATGTGATAAGTCACAGAAATCACAAGTGAAAACAGTGTAGTCCCGTTTATATTTGGGAGCCCTTACCTTACTCTCACAACAGGAGGAAGGTGAGAATTGAGGACTTATTTAATTAACCTAATCAGCTGCAGCAGAAAAATGAGCTATCAAACGTAGTGGTGTGTGTGTGTGCGTGTGTGTGAGCGCATGTGTGTGCATGTGTGTGTGTGTGTGAAAGGGGGAGGGGATAAAGGCCACAATGTTGTGAGATTGTTTTTTTTTTTGGGGGGGGGGATTTAGGTGCCAGTGACCACCAATAATGAGGCAGAATAAGGGGTTTAAATGCCACTGACTAGAAATGATTGTGATATTGTTTTGGAGGGTTTTTAAAGGGTGAATGACCACCCATGTTGTGGAATCGTTTTATTTGGGGGGGGGGAAGGGGGAATTGTAAAGTTCTACTGACCACCAATGATGAAGGTAGCAGGGTTTTTACAATTTTCCTGACTGCCAATGATTTTAGGATTTTTTGTTTTTGGGAGGAGGGGCTGACTTCTATTAATTGTGGAGTGTTTAGAGGGTAGTTTGAAGTGTTCAGGGTTTATCTTTAGCACTAGCCATTGCACACAAGGTAATTACATCCTCCAGGGAACTTTCTTCAACTAATAATGGAAGTTTTGCACTTGGCATCAGTGGTAATTTACGTACACCATATGGACCTGACAGCAGGGGGTTTTTAAATTGTGTAGAAATCTGACAAGCTGACTTCTGGCTGTCAGGTGGCACTGGATTGCTTTTACACCCCCCATGATGAATGTCCCCATCCCCTGTACAGGAAGGGGGTGCAGCATGTCTGTCCTGAAGTGGTTAGGTTATTAAAGATGCAAGCTTTTGGGATAACTTTACACATGCCTGAATAAGGGATCTAATTCATCCCCAAGAGCTTGCATCTTTAATAACTACAGTTAGCTGATAAAGGATATCACTTAAACGCTAAACACCCTGTACCATCATAAGCTTAGTTACAGTGAAGTCATTTGTTACATTGTTTGCCATCTTTGTACCATTGGGGAAATTTCTCTTTATTTCTTGTCCTAGAGATGCTACAGGAAGTTAAAGTGGTTTTTAAGGCAAAATGTTTTACTTTAATGCATTCTCTGCACATTGAGATTGATTTACTATAGAAGTAAACCATGTTTACTTGTAAACTGATTTTTCAATATAAAACTGACATTTCACTTTTCATTGTGAATAAGGTTTAAAAGTGAATATTCACTTTGCAAAAAATACCCAATAATTTAAAAAAAAAAAACTTTAAAAAAACACATTATTTTGCTTGTACGTGAGTGAATGATTAAATGCAGCACAACTTCACTTCTTTCCCTAAGCTACAGTCAGGTCCATAAATATTGGGACATCGACACAATTCTAAAATTTTTGGCTCTATACACCACCACAATGGATTTGAAATGAAACGAACAAGATGTGCTTTAACTGCAGACTGTCAGCTTTAATTTGAGTGTATTTACATCCAAATCAGGTGAACGGTGTAGGAAATACAACAGTTTGCATATGTGCCTCCCACTTGTTAAGGGACCAAAAGTAATGGGACAGAATAATAATCATAAATCAAACTTTCACTTTTTAATACTTGGTTGCAAATCCTTTGCAGTCAATTACAGCCTGAAGTCTGGAACGCATAGACATCACCAGACGCTGGGTTTCATCCCTGGTGATGCTCTGCCAGGTCTCTACTGCAACTGTCTTCAGTTCCTGCTTGTTCTTGGGGCATTTTCCCTTCAGTTTTGTCTTCAGCAAGTGAAATGCATGCTCAATCGGATTCAGGTCAGGTGATTGACTTGGCTTTGCAAAGAAAGAATGAATTTTCTCTTTGCAAAGCGAGTTTTCTCTTACCTTATTGAATGAGGTAAAGCTAACCAACGTCAGCCAATCTTTTCAATTCAATCTTTTCTTTTCCTCAATTTTCTTTGTAATTGATTGGATATTCTTTGCAAATTGAATTTCCATTTTTTTTATTAGTTCACTGAGATAAGTGAAAATTAACTTTGAACGTAAATGTGCTCTACTACTTTAGTAAATCAGGGTTAGTGTCTTAGCTTTGTAATGGCTGATGGGGAACAAATCCTAGAATTAAAACAGAGAAATGTTTGGCTAAGCATTAGTTAATGTTTTGCTGAATCTTTGGCAGGAATCTATTAATTTCAGGAAAATATTGCCATTTCTGTGAAATGTTTTGAAGGAAATAGGAAAGGTGAAAAGAAAGTGATTTTTTTTTTGGTGTTTTTTAACGGTGCAATGGGCTTTGAATTGTATCTGAGGGTTAGAGAAACTCATTTCAATTAATCTGTTCTTGTTCCAAAAAAAACAGCTACTTATTAGCTTGAAGCATGACATTCTATATTGAGGAAGATACCTTTCATATACTGTAAATTAGATTTTTCATTTGCTTCCTCATTGATGTTATTTTAAGGAACCTTTCATATATGACAAATTGGGGGAGATTTATTAAAACTGGCGCACACACACTCTGGTACACCTGTGCATAGTACCTAATCAGCTTCCAGGTTTTATTGTCAAAACTTAATTGAACAAGCTGAACTTAGATTTTGATTGGTTATTATGCACAGCTTCACCAGAGTCTGTGTGCACCAGTTTTAGTAAATCAACCCCATTATGTAATCAAATAGTTTGCTAATGATAAAGGCCGGTATACTATATATAATTTCATGACAATTTCTATGACATCTCTGCACCTAATTCTACTCTGCCAGTTGCTAACCGTATTCAGATCTCACACTTGTATACCTCTTCATGTTATATCGTCACTATCAAAATAATTACTTTTAATTATTCTCTCCTCATACTCATCTTGCCCTCTTTATCCATTTCCTGTTAATCCACCATTTCATTTATCTGACTGACTTACTCTCTTCCCTTTCACCCCAAGCTGCTATTTCCCTCTTAATAATATTATATTATAATTATTATTCTTGAATTTATGGCCATTTCTGACTTTAGGCTTGGCACATTTATTGTTGACATCCTGAATTGACTTTATTAGTATTACTTGGTTCCTTGTAATCTTGCATCATGCAACCCAGGCTTAAAAACCACTTACAATGCTGCTTTATGCTATGGCAGTATTTATTTTGTTATTTACAAAAAAGAGACTTCTCCTTAGTACTGTTGGTTTCTCCTGTCATCCCACTCTTCATATTGGTCACTTTACTTAGACATTTTTAACCGCTTACATATATCACTAATGCTTACCATTTCTTACACTTGTACTTATTTCTATTCCACTGGATCTGTTCTCTCACTAACTGGAGACTCCAACTAGCTACTCCACCTCCCCTCTCATCCCTTCAATCAATCATGGTAATTTTTTCCAGTCATGGCCCCCTTCTCATTCCAATTGGCACTTTTCACCTGTCACTCAATCTCACTTACCTTTGAAACTTCTCAATTCAGTTTCCTTGTGAAATTTAGTATCCCCTCGATGGACTGCACATGTGCGATTTCCTTCACAAATTTTATTATGTAATGAGTGTGGTCTTCTTGAACCCCCCAAGGTTCTGTTCTTGAACCTCTCCTATTTTCAATCAACAACTCTTCCCTGGGTCAGCTGATAGCTTCCCATGGTTTAAAATACCATTTCTATGCTGATGACACATAAATCTATCTCTCTACCTCTCAGCTCACCCCATCAATTTCTTCATGTATCACTGATTTTACTAACATGCATAACAAAATGGATGTCACAACACTTCCTCAAACATAATCTATCCAAAACTGAGTTTATAATATTTCCTCCTTCAAGTGCCCCCTCCCCTGATTTCACAGTCAAGATCAATGACACAACTATCAACCCATCCCCACATGCCAGGGTGCTAGGTGTAACCCTTGATTCTGAACTGTCCTTTCAGGCCCACACATCCAATCCCTGTCGAAATAATGCTGCCTCCACCTCCACAACATCTCCAGAATACGCCTCTTTTTAACCAATGACACTACAAAGCTTCTAATTCACTCCCTGGTTATCTCTCGCCTTGACTACTGCAAATCCCTCTTCATTAGCCTAACTTTACAAAGGCTACCCCCCTTTCAGTCTATCATGAATGCTGGTGCCAGACTCATCCACCTTGCTAACCATTCAGTGTCTAGTACACTTTTCTGCCAATTCCTCCACTGGCTTCCACTCACCCAACAAATAAAATTCAAAATACTAACAACAATTTACAAAGACACCCACAACTCGGCCCTCAACTACACCAATAACCTGGTCTCAAAATACCAAACAAACTGCTCTCTTCGGTACTCCCAAGACCTCCTGCTCTCTAGTTCCTGTGTCACCTCC